ATACCAAATAAACAGTATTATCTATGTGAACTATCTTAAATGGCTGTGGAGAAGACAAGCCTAAATATCAGATAAACATTATTAACTATGTAGATTCTTTGAAAGGGATGTGGAGTTGACAAACCTCAATACCAAATACATATCATTAGCTATGTGGACTCTCTGAAAGATGCCAAGTTGACAAACCTAAATATCAGATAAACATTATTAGCTATTTGGACTCTATGAAAGGTATCACATTATTAGCCCTAACCCGGACACCATATAAATATTATAAGCTATGTGGATTCTCTAAAAAGGATGTCAAGTTTACTAAATCCCAGACTGGCATCAAGTGTTCCAGAGCCCTAAGCTTTCTCTGCTTGCAGCCGCGAAAAGGAAAGGTACGGTGTGGAATAATCCATACAAACGAAAATAGAAGAAGTGAACACATGAGGTACGGGTCCGAACACGGTGCAGACACTATCGTTTCTTCTATTTTCTACTGTATTGATAATCCTGCACCTTACACCACACCGGACACCAGACCTTGTCTATTCCCACCTATAAACAACTTATTTAGATTATATATGATTTTACATGTTATTGTTAAGTTTTGTTATAAAAATAAATATAGTATATTAAAAACATGTATGTTGTTCTAATTTCAACTCTGTGGCCTTCTTTCAGTTTTTGGGTCCTTCGTCAGAAACTTGCTGACTTTAATAAAGCTTTGGTGACAGTTGTTGGCTGGCTAGAAACTTGGTGACTCTTACATAGTCTCTGATAGTTATTGTTGACAGTTGTTAGCTAGCAAGAAACTTGGTGACTCTTACATAGTCTCTGATAGTTATTGTTGACAGTTGTCAGCTAGCAAGGAACTTGGTGACTCTTACATAGTCTCTGATAGTTATTGTTGACAGTTGTCAGCTAGCAAGAAACTTGGTGACTCTTACATAGTCTCTGATAGTTATTGTTGACAGTTGTTGGCTGGCTAGAAACTTGGTGACTCTTACATAGTCTCTGATAGTTATTGTTGACAGTTGTTAGCTAGCAAGAAACTTGGTGACTCTTACATAGTCTCTGATAGTTATTGTTGACAGTTGTCAGCTAGCAAGGAACTTGGTGACTCTTACATAGTCTCTGATAGTTATTGTTGACAGTTGTCAGCTAGCAAGGAACTTGGTGACTCTTACATAGTCTCTGATAGTTATTGTTGACAGATGTCAGCTAGCAAGAAACTTGGTGACTCTTACATAGTCTCTGATAGTTATTGTTGACAGTTGTCAGCTAGCAAGGAACTTGGTGACTCTTTAACATAGTCTTTGATAGTTATTGTTGACACTTGTCAGCTAGCAAGAAACTTGGTGACTCTTAAATAGTCTTTGATAGTTATTGTTGACAGTTGTCAGCTAGCAAGGAACTTGGTGACTCTTACATAGTCTTTGATAGTTATTGTTGACAGTTGTTAGCTAGCAAGGAACTTGGTGACTCTTACATAGTCTCTGATAGTTATTGTTGACAGCTGGATAGAAACCTGCCTACAGATTTGCTCTGGATGGCCAGGTTTTTTTTTAGAAAATTATCACCATGAGAAAAGCCAAACTTCCGTATATTATATTCTGCAACGCCCCTGTGACCCTGTGCCACAACTGGTACATAATACAGCTTAACCTACGGATTTGTAGAAGGACAAAACCTAAGACATGCTTTAACATGTTTATTCTAACCGATATTTATTCTTCACTTGAATATCGATTAGATATCTAATTATTCAACCGTTCATTGAAAACTTTCTTAATTCTTGGAAACCCTCTTAGTCTGCCTGAACATGACCTTCAACCGGGGTAGTCGTTTATGAATCCAGAGAGTATCGCCACCCTTTCATAGTCATCATTGAAGGTGCATAATATAAGCAGTGGAAGAGGTGGGTATATTATACATTTATATATCGCTTAGTTTTCTTTTCTTATGACCTACCCACCATTTAGTCAAAGCCGAGTTAAATATAGATAGGAGAGAAAACTCTATTGATTAAAAAACTGGTTTTACCGCCTGGACATGCTATTTTAATACTTAAAAATCGAATGGAAATGTGCTGAAGGAAGGGAAAGGAATATGATAATACAAGTTTTTAGTAAGAAGTGTGCTGTGACTACCATAGCCCCCACTATTCTAGAGCATATGTTGAAAAAATAATTTCCCGGGGGGAGAGGCCCCAACCCACGGGCCACTCGTCTAGTTGAGCCACTGGTAAAATGTATTTTGAGACCTATTTATATACTAAAAGTATACGTCATATGGTGATAAAAAAAATGTTATACCTGGAAAGCTTGGTTAAATACATGCTCTAATAGTTTTTAATTCAATCTTCAATACATTCTTTTAAAAATTAGGGAGAAAATTCACTGGTTTTTTTTCAGATTTTGAGACAGAGCGTCTCATTAACGCTAAAATTAAAAGTTGAAATGTAAATTTCCATATTTTGAAAGATTTTACAAAGTTTTCTTATTTTCCGTTTGTTTATTCAGCTGTTGAAGTTTATTCCAGTGAAAGTTAACCAAGAGAAAAGATGGAAGAATTATTAAAAAAAGAATTAAAAACGAGTAAATTGGAAAGTTTGGGCTCATGCTCTGGAGGTTATATTAACATTGCCCAAGCGTTTAACACAGATTATGGTAAAATATTCGTCAAAACCAATGAAAAACCACAGGTAAAGTAAGTTAAATTCTGACCACAGAAAACTGTCACTGTGAAAATATTCAGTCAAAAATTAGAAGCGATATTTCGTACGGATTAATGCAAGATCCAACAAACTTATCTTGATATAAATATTTATTAAGAGTATACCCAAACTTGTGTATTGCTAATCGTAGTTTTAAAGGCATGCGAGGACTACCAAAAATTCAATTTTAAACAGGCCCGCAGCTAATGGGAGGGGGCGGAAAAAGTTTTGACAACCGACCAATTACTGCAACATACACCTTGCCCCTCCAGGTATATTACTTGCCTCTCTGGATATATTACTTGCCCCTCTGGATATATTACTTGTCCCTCCAGATATATTACTTGCCCCCCCCCCCCCCCCCGGAAATATTACTTGCCCCTCTGGAGATATTACTTGCCCCTCTGGAGATATTACTTGGCCCTTGAGAAATATTACTTGCT